CTGAGGCACGTGCAGTTCTGAGGGAATTGAGCAGGGCTTCAAAGCTGTCTGATAATGACACAGGGCACACTACAAGTAGACCTTGTGTCAAGGAGTCGGAAATAAAGCAGTATACCCTGGCCAGGTGGCCATCTAGAAGGGCAGGTGACAGGCACCCTCCTTGTGTCAGCATGGTGTGGTAAGAGATGCTGTAGAGGAGAGAGGCCTGGGCCAGGGAGAAATGGAACAGACAGGTCAGGGAAGGCTGCCAGATGGAATGAGCCTTAAGAGAAGTCTTCAAAAGTAAGGAGAAAGCAGAGGGCAAGCTACACCGTGGTGAGAGATGAGAAGGCAAGTAGGACATCCAGGCACTCTTAGAGAGCCTCCCACACAGAATGATCCCAGTCATCACGCCCTCCGCTTCCTCCCATCCATCCATCCCCTCATCTCCTTCCCTACAGAAGAGTGTCTAAAAATGCAAACCTAATAATACAATCCCATGCCCCCCTTAAAAATAGGGATAAAAACCCAACCACCTGCATGGTCAACAAAGCCCTGCCCGCTTACTATTTGCAGTACGCTCCTCGCATCCCCCACAGCCTGGCCCTCTGCTTCCTCAGGTCCTGCTTACTCTCCCACTAGGACCGTTGCTCTTTTCACTACCCCTCACCCCTAACCCCACATCCCTTTACCACGGTAGCCCTTATTCACCCTTCTCACAGCCACTCAAATGTTACTTCCTCAGAGAAGCCTTCCCTGATGCCAGACCATAGACCAGCTTCCAGCACACTTTCTCACTGAACTTGTTCTTCATAATACTACAATGCTTGCCTCTGTGTGTATTGTATGTATGTATGTATGTATGTATGTATGTATGTATGTGTGCATGTATATGTGTGTGTATGTATAGGTGTGTGTGTGTGCGCGTGCGTGCGTGTGTGTGTGTGTGTGTGTGTGTGTGTGTGTGTTGATTCATGCTCATCTCTTGTGTTCAAGTTTAAGATCCAGCAAATCAGAGACCTTCTAACTTTCTTAAATAACTGAATGTTCAGAACCCACTGCCGTGGCCAGCGTACACACTTCTGAGTTGCTACGACCCCCGCCTCTCCCTGCTGTGTTCCCAGCTCTAAGTTGAGTGTTAGTTTCAGCTTGTGTTTGTGCTGCTGTCTCTGATAGAGTTGCCCTTTAGAGCTACCTTCATCTACCAATGGGTGCAAAAATGGCATTTAGGTGGAGAAGGCCAGAGCTCTCGGTAACGTGAGGGGCAGCATGCTTCCTCATGAATGGAAAGAATGAGCGGCATTTCTGCCTCACTGCTGGTCACCATCCACCAGGCTTGCCAGCACTTGGGTGCTCTGCTCCTACTCTGACATTATGCCTATATTTCTATTGCAGTCACGTATGGATTCATTCAGGATTATTTCTGGACACTTGCCTGATGCTGTGCTGAGAATTCAAGTGAAGACAAGACATGTGTGTTGGTCAGAGCCTGGTGCTAAAGAAAACGTGGCGTCCTCTGTGCAGAAATGATTAAGCATTTAAAAATGTCAATGACAAAGCTTTGAACTGACTGTGGTACCCTTGTGGCCACATGGCCAGCATAAGCTGTTATGTCCCTATCCTTGCACCAGCCTGAGTGCCTCAGTGACTTCAGCGTAGACACAGGTGTCAGAATATCTTGGGCCAACTCCCAATTCAGGAGATCTCTGCCAAATTACTGAACTCCTCTGTGCTTCAGTTTTCTCATCTATTGAATGGAGCTCGACAATCCCCTCCTTCCACCATGATTATGGGACTAACTTATCAAACAGATGCCTGTTAATAAAGCCTCAACACATAGAAAGTCTGACCACAACACTCACATCTGTGCACAGTCAGCAGGGCCAGTTACACAGGCACATTACCTGTGTGGTCACCCAGGACCCCACACCACAAGGGTGCCCCAGTCAGTTCAAAGCTTTGACATTTTTAAATGCTTAATCATTTTGCGCAGGGGATACCACATTTTCTTTAGCACCAGGCTCTGACCAGCACACATGAAGAGCTGAGCAAAGTCTGCTGGAAGCAAGAATGGATGGATGTCTCCAGCCTTTTGTATCAGCCCACACATGCCTTTGTCCTTCAGAATCAGCCAAAGGGGTCAGCTTTGAAGCAAAATTATACCTTAAGGGGTTAGGTTTTTCTTCAGGGGACAGGATCTCACTACAGAACCCAGGCTGACTATGAACTCATAATTCTTCTGCCTCAGCCTATCCAGTGCAGGGATTATAGGCATACTCCCCACACCCAATTCAAGTAGACTGTGTGAATTCACCATACACTTTCCCTAAGACTGAGAGCACCCAAAGTCAGACTCAAAATCTTAAACACATTTTCATGCAAACCTACATTTCCTAAGAAACAGACTCTAACCGAGCAGCAGCCAAGCATCCCAGGGGGGCCAACCAGTGTTAGAGGGTAACTCCTCCATCTCTTGGACTTACAGTACATCTTCCTTCCATACACTCCCATGCTCTCTGCAGAGAGATAATAGCCCATGGGGACAACAGTGTTCCTTCTTTGCTTCATCCCATTCAACAAGCGAAGAAGTGAATCTTAGGGTACAATTAGGTCCTTCAATATCCCCATGTAGTGCAGTTCCTCTGCCCGCCCAGGCTCTATGAAGGCCTCTATGGGCCTTGGAATCTGAACCACTTTGGAAGTGTTATCCAATAGGATCAGTGCATGCATGCTAAATCTGAGGCTGTGTCCCCAGCTCTGGACCAACCCACCTGTGCTGCAACAACAAACAAAGATAAACTCATGCTCAGCAGCCTCAGCCAGTGGGTAGCGCAGATTTCATTCTTCCCATGTGTCTGGACTCTGCAGTGAACCGGTACTATGAAAAGCTGTGGATACAACCAGAACCCCACCGACAAAAGACCTTGACCTCCCAAGGCAGGAATGACAAGAAACAAGACAAATCAGATCCTATATGGTAGGATGATGGCGCTAAGCCTTCAGAGAGGAGGACAGAGGTAGTGCAATATTTGGGGTGAAGAATAATTGAGATGTCAATCTCACATAGGATTGTCCATGAAAAGCAGCCATAGGAAGAGTGAGGAGACAGTGTAAGACATGAGTGGAGAGACATGAAGGTGAGGAGGCAGGCCGTGAAGCTTCCAGAAGAACATTTTAGACCGTGGAAACTGCCTGTGAAAAAAAACTCGGGGGCTTTAGCCATCATTGGCAGTGTAGGGAGATCTCTGAAGAGACTGGAGGCTTTGCCAAGAGGCATTTGCGTCCCTACCCCAGCCTCTCTGCTCAATGCAGCGCCATCTACAGGCCAATCCAGTCCATAGATTGACAGCAATTAAGTGTTGAGCTTTTTACAGCAGTTGGGGGCTACTTTATTTAGCACCATGGAGGGGTTCGGTTTTGTTCCTTAGATTTTGATAGGAAGGGTAGTCACACTCAAGATGGCTATAAGAGAGGATTTTTACGTAGCCAAGGATGCCTTTGTATTTCTGACCCACTTGTCCTCGCTTCTCAAGTACTGGGACTACAGACTTGAACCACTGAGCCAGGTCTTATGCACCACTATTGGTCCAAGCCAGGACTTCATGTTCACTAACCAAGCACTCTGACAACTAAGCTACATGCCCGGTCCCAAGAGAGAATTTTGAGTGTACTCCCCCAAAACAAATGTCACGTGATTAAGGTGAGACGTATACTACTTACACTGATTTGGTCAATGCACACCAAATGCCAGAATCGAAATATCACATTATACCCCTAGAAATATGGATGATGGTGTGTGTCAATGGAAAATAAAAATAAAGCAAAAAGTTAGACAGCAAGATAGGTCACAATAAAATTTTAATATCTAATGGAGCTTGAAATATCAGACTGGGTTTAATTGTACCCACCGGACTCTGTAACAACCTTGTCCTTTTAGGGGTCTGAGTGCCTGCCTGTCCACCATAGACCCGTCTGAGGCCAGCAGATCCCTCTACAACTTTAGATTTCCAGCCTTCCTCTCCTCCACTCACTGCCCGAGGAGCTCCCAACAGAGATGGGGACAGGACACTGGGCCCTTGCTGGAGACTCAGAAAAGGCTCAGCCAGCTCCTTCTCTCGGGAACAGATGTTAGGGAAGGAGTGGGGAGGGGGTGTCTCCAACATCTTCCAGCCAGTCACACGTCCCTCCTCGCTTGCATCTGCTTCAGCTTGCTCCTGGAAAGGCTTGCTTCTGTGCTCCTGCTGTGCCTTTAACACACAGGCTTGACTTGAGCCTGGGGCAGATGTCTCTCCCTAGCGGATTCTTGGGTACCCTTGACAAGTGAAGCTCTTGGAGTGCTCTGCCTGCCTCCCCTGCAAAGGGGGCGCCCCTCCACGGCCAGGATCCCACCTGATCTGCCCATGCTCTCTCCTTCACACAACCTTCAAACACTTCAGACCACCCAGCCCCCTATATGCATTTGGTACTTGTTCGAGGCTCCGCCTGAGCCTGCTGCGCCCTCCTGCATATTGATGAGGGTGTCTGCATGTTTTCACCAGTCTAGCTAGGTGTGGAAGATGAAAGCACCCGCGTGCGTGAGTGTGTGAGTGAGTGCACCCGCATGGCTGGGCATTGTGTGCCTTTGTGTGCGTGCAGGTGAGTGTGTGTGTGTGTCTCCGTGGCTGCAACATTTTATCCCAAGCTGAAGGCTGTGTGGAGGGCTTCTCTTAGCTATCCTGCATCCCTTCCAAGTTCAGGGACAGCACCATCGACCTGGTGGCACACGCAAAGATGTTCACAGCCTTCCTTCAGACCCACAAGCTCAGCTCCCTGATCCAGGCAAGGAAAAAAAAAAATCTTTCAACATCCTCTGGGCTCCAACAGTCGCGACCCCATCCCCCACACCCTGGATGTAGACGCCTCTACACGAAGATGGGCTCGAGGCATTGGCGGGGAGCTGGGGTAGGTAGCTGGGAGGAAAGTCAAAAGGAAAACTGAGGACATGCTGGACGGGTAAAGGAGCTGCTAAGGGAGAAGCAGGTCGTTTCCACGCCACGCCCCTCCCACAGGGGTTGGAAACCCAGGATAGCCTGTTCTCCATCCCGGTCTTCCTCTGGGGTTCCCAAGTTAACCCGGTCTTTTCCTTCAGAAACTGGAGCCAGAAAACGCTGCTGGGACCCGGCTCCTCTGGAACGTCCCACTCGATGCCCCCCACTCTCAGCGCGTGCGCGCGCTCGTGGACACACACACACACACACACACACACACACACACACACACACACACACACACACACACACACACACACACCATGCAGGCAGCTGCTGATTGGCTGCGGAGAACGGCGTCCCGGCTGGGGTTCTGAGGCGGGAGCTGAGCGGTCCTAGGAGGGAGGTGCACACTCCCGGCTCCGAGAGCCCCTCCCGCGTCCCCTGCGCCCTGCTGGAGAGCGGAGCTGCGGATCCTGGAAGGCAGGTGCGGAGCCAGCCGAGGATACCAACCAGGGTGCAAGCGGGTCCCGCCGTGCGGCGATCCCGGATCCCGCCCCAGCTGCTGCCTGGTCCCCACCCGCTTGGCAGCTGCGCCGAGCCCAGCCCGGCGAGGGGCGCGCTCATGGAGCACATGCACGCCCACCTCGCCGCCAACAGCTCGGCTTGCGGCTTGGGCTTCGTGCCGGTGGTCTACTACAGCTTTTTGCTGTGCCTCGGATTACCAGGTGAGGGGACCTGAGGGAGAGGGAGGGAAGCCGGAAGCCCCAAGTTGCAACCTCCGGGGTCCCAGACACCGTCTTGGGAAGTGCCCTGGAGCCCGCTTTGAAAAATAACAAAGTTTAAACCTTGGTGGCAACTGTGGAGGTTTCCAAATCAGGATGAAGGGACGTCGCGTGGCTTGGCGGGGACAGTGCTTGTGTGGCGCTGGGGCATTTTGACTTGTGGGTGTGCATCCTATCCAAAGCGTGCCCGTGTGTTCTCTGTTCTCGTTCTCTCTCTCTCTCTCTCTCTCTCTCTCTCTCTCTCTCTCTCTCTCTCTCTCTCTCATCGCGTCCCTGAGGGGTCCCGGAAGGGCTGTGCAAGGCTTTGCCCCACACTGTCACCTCAGCCGAGAACACTTCTGCCACCCTATCCCTCTGTACCTCCCACCTAATGCTACATAAAGCCGAGACCTTGATACTGGCCACTCGAGTTCTAGGGGCAAGGGGATGAGCCCTTGCTATCCGCTGTCTGCCCTGAGGGAGCGAAGTATCTTCTTATGGCCAAGAAGTGTCAAAGGGTGCCCCTGGTCTGGGCCGGATGGGGCAGCTGTGCAGAGAAGCGCACTGCCTACCAGGACTACTGCCTCAGGGGATGGCAGTCTCCTTGAATTTAAGTCTGTCTCCTCTGGCTTTGCCTCCAGGTCAACCCCAGTCCTCCCTTCCAGGGCAGTTCCCAGGGAGGCAGACGAGTGGCTAGCTGGTCCCACATCTTAATGTCCTCTGGAAAGTGAGGCTGAGACTCCTAGTGAATTCCTGAAGAGAGATGAGCTGCTGAGGGAGGAGGGGTGTCTGCCGGGGCTATGTGAAAGAGCAGCTGGGACCAGGAAGAACAGACGCCCCCACCCACCCCCCCGGGGGGGCTTCAGTTTTGGGTCTTTGGATAATCCTGTCATGCACACAATGTCATGTTCATTCCTGGAGTCACCTGCAGGCAGAAGAGAGAGCTAGAGACAGAAAGGCTCAGAAAGAGAAAAACCCCTGTCCAAGACAGAATCTCAGCCTCCACCACTTGGTATCTCTGCTCTGAGAACTTGAGCATCCTAGCATCCTGAGAAGTTGGGTGTTAGTCTTCCAAGATCCGAGAACTCTCCCTTCCTCAAACATTTAGGGACTCCAGAGCCCCTGGCAAGACAGTGTCCAACAACCCCCACTCCGGAGTTAACCAGCACAGGCAAACACAAGTTTCCTAACATGGACTCCTGCATTCCCCTGTGAAGGGAAGCTCTCCCCCCAACTTATCTCTCCTAGGAGAGGGGATCCAGCTCTGATGTACCCTACCAGGTAGGGCACTCCTGTAATTACCTGGAGCTGAAATTGATTTCCACCCAGGTTGCATCTCCCTCCCCTGCCCTCCAAAGCCTGTTCCCAGCGCTCTCTATTGGGAAATGAGTGCATGAGAGGCTGGTTATGTGTGATGCCTGCTGAAGTGAAGAGGGGCCAGAGCCCCTCTCTTTGACAGCACCCCACCCCCATCATAGTGAAACTAACCCCCTTCCTGACCTCTCCATCTCTCCCATTGCCTGTGCTGGCCACTCGTTCTCTCGGGCATTTTCTCTCCAAATTCTAAGGGGGCAGTGCTGCAAAGACAAGGAGGATGACCTCCAAGAGTCCAAAACAGGACACGAGGTTAGGAGAACAGGCAATCTCAGACTGTCGATGACCTCAAATCCAAGTGTCTTGAGCCTCTATAGTCTAACTCTCCTGAGCAGTTATGGTCTTTCCACCCATAGCTTTGGCACCCACCTTATGCTAGGCACTGTGCTTGGCATGGGTTTAGCCCAGGGCTTAGGGATTTAAGAGAGAGAAGGGTTGAGATTTGAACTTAGGTGGGGTGTGTGTTTATAGACTTAGCTAACAGTTTTGACCATCTACTGTGTGCAAATACTAAGGATGTGCCAAAGGGCTCCCAGGGGTCTTCAGGGGGCAGTCCCTGGATTCAGGGAACTCGAAATGAAAGCTTCTGGCTTTAGAGGCAGCTGCTGGATGCAGAAGGGTCAAGCTCCTAGAGAAGAGTGAAGGGAAGACCAGTCTTGCCCAAAACCATGGGCCCAAAGCACTTTTGTTAGCAACCTGGAAGGCTGGTTCTAAGAGTCCTCGTCATTCTTTTAAAGCAGTGGTTCTCAGCCTGTGGGTTCTCAACCTTTGCAGGGTCAAATGACCCTTTCACAGGGGTCACCTAAGACTATCAGAAAGCACAGATAAGTAATTATGATTCATAACAATAGCAAAATTGTAGTTATGAAGTAGCAACAAAAATAATTTTATGGTTGGGGATCACCATGACATGAGGAACTGTATTAAAGGGTCTCAGCATTAGGCAGGTTGAGGACCACTGTTTTGAAGCCATACAGAGAAGCAAACATATCCCAGCAAAAGAGAGCGCAGACGGAGGATTAATCCAGCCTCCACCAGAGTCAGGGGGTGTGGTTGCTCTGTGCCTTAGCTTCTCTCTGTAAAATGGACATTACGAAATTGTCTTTCCCTAGGGTGGTAGGACAAGTGACAGCTTTAGTGACGATGAGGAGGCGGTTAAGCATGCAGTTCAGTGGCTGTCACCTGCACTGATTGACATTGTGCGGCTGCAGTTGTAACTGTCATCCCATGGGGCTGTCAGGAGAAGGGGACTGCTCAGCATGATCCGGGAACCAGCAGAGGGCCCAGGAGGTGCCTAGAGGACAGCACTTAGCCTGGATCTTTACCTTGAAAGTTCACCATGGTGGTCTCCTCAACTTAGAGTCACCATCAATTAGCAAGCGCTCGTCGCCACTGTTGATGGAGAGACACAGCTATGTGGGGTGTGACATAGCAACAGGCCTTGCTAATATTGTTGAAAACTGAGATTTTAATTGAATCACTATTCCCAGCAGGGAGATCACTCCAAGTTTTCCAAATCCCCCCACCAAGTGCTGTCAGAGATGAGAGTGGAAATGGAGAGATAGATGGGGAATGCCTGGGTGTTTGCCAAGAGGGATCCAGTAATTACAGGAAAGTGGCAGGTGTCTCTGGCTACACATATCCCTAAGTTGGCAGAAAGAGCTTTGAAAAAGCCATGTGGTCCAGCCCCCTACTTTAAGTAATTGCCTGTGTGGGCCAGCGCAACAGGCCTGGCATGAGTCCAGGGAATTCCAATACGAAGTATGGGCAGAGCTAGCCACTTAGGAATTCTTAGCCTGTCAGTTCCACAGTTTGCCCCATCAGTAAAATGGGTAGGAGTCATGCATAATTACCTCCCCAGGTAGCATCTATTAATTAAGATATTCTATATAAAAATAGCCTGAGTCATACCTCTGGTCCTAGCTATTCAGAAGACCAAGGCAGGAGGATTTCTTGAGATGAGAAGTTGAAGACCAGCTAAGGCAATAGAGCAAAAACTCACCCCACAAAACATTTAGAATAATGCCTAGTCCAAGAAAAGCACATTTTACTCAGTGCCTTCTCCACAGCAGATATTTTCACCCCTACACTGCCGCTTCATCTCTGTTACCTCCCTATGACCTACAAATGCATCTGAACCCATTTCATGGCTGAGTAAACTGAGATGCGGAGCAGTGCCACATATGCCCTACAACCGTAGAGTCAAACCAGAGGTAAATGCACCTGCTCTTTCTGTGGCATCGCATTTCCTTCCTTCCACCAGGAAGCTGTTTTCACTAATCTTGGTCCCCCAATGCTGAAGACTTAGCAGAGAATATTGGCACCCCTGCCCTTCATAAAACTCCATCTGCTTCTCTCGTTTCTCCTTTTTAAGTGAGGGAGATGCTTATTTCTCAAGACACGGGAGCTAAGTCAGAAGAGCCAATGCTGGTTGGCTTGGTGGAGACAAGCAGTATAAAGAATGGCAGGAGGAGAAGGAAACTGTGAACTTGAATGTCTGGGGGGAGACAGCCATGGGGTGATAGATGAGCTGCCCTGATAAGGAAGGAACACCTCAAAAATAAACAGGGATTTGAAAGATTTTGTCTTTCAAATTTGCTTTCTGAAAGGTGCCCCAGACATGAAGGAAAGCAGAGTGAGGAAGGAGATGATAGCTTGAAATCGCATCCCACCCTACAGGAACGCTTCTACAGCTGCCTAGCAAGGGTGATGAGGTCTGCCTCTGAAGGCTGGGATGGGTGAAGGGAGCTTGGCACAATGTTGTTACCATGGTTATTAACCAGAGGTAAAGATATGAGTAGCCCGGTGACTGGGATGACCCCTGCAGGTGTGTTTTCTTTAACCCACCAACAGTTTTGATTAGAGAAGGTATAATAAACAGGCTAGGAGTGGAAATGTGGGGCCTGGGCCTCTGGGATTCTATGCCCTGTGTAACTATGGGCAAGTGACATTAACTATGACATGCTTCAGTTTTCCTACCTTTAAAAACGGAGTGGTGAAAATGATAGTCCATACACTGTGGGGTTGATGTGAAGACTGGATTAAGCACTAAACACAACACTTTGAACACAGGAAGCACTCTGTAAGTTACATTGTCATCATCTGAAATGTGGGGAGATTTCCCAATATGTCTGATGACTTTACCCTATCATCAAAGTAAGACAGATATTATCAGAAAATTAAACTATAAACCAACAAGCCTCTTGAGCACAGACACAAAATCCAGAAATGGCCAAGTGACTCAATAAGCAGCTAGAAGGGGTAACTCATCTAGAACTTGGGTTCATCTCACGATGCCAAATTCATTAAGCATTTGACAAGAATGTTAACAAGTGAAAAATAAAATCCAAGTGATCCATCTTAGTAGATGAGGAAAAACATTCGACAATAGTTAACAACCTCTTTGCAGTAAAAACTCATCAAACAAATGATAAAGAGAAATTATTTAACATGGAAAATGGAATCTACAAATAACCTGGGACTTCCATCACACTCAAGGGCTAGAGGTTGAGTATTCCCCCAACCCCCGTGATCTGGAGCTGGGCAGGAAGAGCTGCCCTCCTTGCTTTTATTCAACATAGTACTGGAAG